TCCCTCTCAGCTCCCAAATGCAATAAAAATAAGGGGGGGGGGTGAGGGTACAGGTTCATAAAACGAAGAGATCAATCCAGCTGAAATTCTATGATTTCAGACCCATGACATAACTCATTTCTGGCCTGAGTACCTACAAGAAAGGGGCGGAATATGTGAATTATTCAAATTATTTGGGTCAAACTAATTTAGACTGTTTGCAAGGAGAAAAAGGGTTAATTTAGTTCTAGATTTCCTGAATTAGCTCTGGTATTAATTTCACAGGGCAGAGGGAGTTTAGCAGACTTTTGTAAACTGGAAAATAGAGCCCATTACTGTGGCCATCAGGGTCTCCCAAACTCAGTGAGAGGTCTCTCAAGGTGGTGGTGAACACATTTCACCCTTCAGTCCCAAAGAGGCTGGGAGAAAAAATGCAAAATGGACGTAGAGCCCTGAGCAAAGAAGCAAGTTCACAGGTATCAAGTGGTAGGGACCTCAGAACACCAAAGAGCAGAGGTGGGGCCCAGGGCAGGAAGGGAATACTGAGTTAAGGGGAAAGACTGGTAGAAAAAGCCAGGCGGTCTACTTCAGGTGAGCCTGCAGCAGCAACAGGGCTGGGGGGTGTGGGGTGGGGGGAACATCTGGATGAAGGAGTTTCCAGTGTGGCAAAGGTACGGCTTTGAAGAGGAAAAAACACTAGGGAGAGACTGACAGTGGTGAATAAGGGAAAGCTGGGGCTGCGTTAACTTGCTTTGAGGTTCAAGCGTAGAGGCATGAGCGGGTGGTGGGCTTTTCGCCCCGGGGAGGAAGACATCGCGGGAAAAATATGGCTCCACGGGGGTGCGGGGGCTATCACAGGCCTGAGGAAGAAGAGCCGCGGGGTGTCACTCAACTGGGAGGAGGGGGTGCCGCAGGGTGGGAGGCTTGTCATAGTCCAAGGAGGCGGCACAAGAGGGTGTCACTGTCCTAGGAGATGGGGGAATTGTCCTTGCGCTGAGGAGGAGGCGCCAAGGAGCAGGGGGGGTTGTCACGATCCCGGGTAGGGGGGCGCCGCGTGGCGTCCCCGCTCTGGGAGGATTCCAGTAAGTCTCCCTCTCACGGGAGGCGCTGGACGGGTCAGGTGGAGGGCGCCGCTCCTGGCCGGTCCTGCAACCGCGCCCCGGGCGCCCCCGCCCCGCCGTCAGCTCTCTCCCGATCTGAAGGCTAAGGCCAGTCCCGGGTGTGGGCAGCTTTCCGCGTAGCGCAGTGCAGGGAAGGGCAAAGCTGGGCAGCGTGGTAGGCGTTCTCCCTCACCCTTGGCCAGATCCCGAGCTTACCTGGTGTCCGCGGCCCCCTGCTCGGCCCGCCCGGCCAGTCTCCAGATCCCAAGATGTCCGCCCGCCCCCTGCTCGCTTGCCCGCTGCCTCGGCTTTCACCGCAGTGCCGCGGCCCCGCCCCGAACACAGTTGCGCGTGCGCGTCCGGCAATCGCGCCGACTACATATCCCGTCAGGCCCCTCGACCTTCTCGCTTACAATTTTAAGCTTTCTAGGTTTAGCAAAACTACAACTACCCGAATGCCTTCGGCTGGGAAGGCGTGCCTTGGGAGAGGGATAGGCGTGGCCTTATCCACCCTTTCACGAAATACATATCCCATCATACGCCTCTCCACTCACTTCACTTTCCCCACTGAGCATTCTGGGAATTGTAGTCTGCAATCCATCCTGTTCCTATTTCAGTGTTTAGGAGAGCTTCAGAGGATTAATGCCATTTGTTGAAGCCCATTTGTCAAGCCTGAGATTGCTGTAGGCCTTTTCTGTCTCCGGAGTCCGAGGACAGGCTGTGCTCACTTTACACACACATGCCTTGGCAGAAGTGTTTGTACTGAATTTCCTGCTTTCTAACACCACCTCTGATCCTCCCAAGAGTTTTTCATCAAATATTTGTTCCAGACATGAGCCTTTTCCCAGGGATCAAGACCCAAGTAAAAGGGCAGGGAGCAAGGAAGCAAATACTTGTAAGAAACTAGCCAAAGCTTTTCAAGAATGTCTGTTTTATCCCGGCTATACATACGTATGTGACCTCTCAAGCCAAGGACCTGTGTGCCTTCTAGTGAAAGCATATATGTTGCTTAAAAAACCGTTGGCAAGTTTAATTTAACTGGACATGGAATTTGAAATCCCCTCTCTGATGAAGAGTTAATCTTCACATCCAAGCTGAGAAGAGACAGCAAACCCTCAGACATGAAACGCCTACTTCCTCTTGCAGGACCTAAAGAAAATCTGTTAGCTCTTCTCTTTCTGTAGGGAGAGATGCCCTGCTGCCTTCACTGCTGCTGAGCCCATCATGGGAGGAAGGATAAAAAGGGGCAAACCTGGTTGCAAACCCTACTGTTCCAGCATCCTCCTGCTACAAGCCAGGACGTGGCAGGATGAAGATCTAGTCTCCCTCAAACGGTGGCCACAGTGTGAATCCAATAAGTGACCGAATATAGGCATTTCTAATTCTTGAACCAGCACTCAAGGCTTCACTGCTACCTTTCCAAAAGCTTTAACTTCAGTAATATCCTACCATTTAGAGTAAATAATAATAATAATAATAATAATAATAATTATAATTATAGCTACCATTTATTGAGCACCTATTCTACTGTGTGCCAGGCACTGTGCTAGGCACTTTTCGTACATTATCTAATTTAAATCCTCACAACAACCCTGTGAGGTAGGTATTATTATCATCATTTTACATATAAGGGAACTGAGGCTCAGAGAGATTAAATAACTCTCTTATCACAAAACCAAAAAGTAGTAGAGCTGGGATTCAAACCCAGAACAACCTGACTCCAAATCCCATGCTCCTGTGAGTTAGAGTAGAGGCAGGGGGGAGAGAAAGGACCATATTCAAGAAAGATCGTTGGAGTGGAATGGATATGATATGCTGACTAGTAAGATATGGGGAGGAATTTAAGCCCATAAATGTTACTAGCTGGTGTGCCTATGTAGAGTGTGATAAAAATAACCAGGATTGGAATTCAGGAGGAACACACTTGATGGGGGAAATGAGTTGAGTCCATATGTATATGTCCAGGGTGATGTCCAGCGGGTGGTAATACAGATCTAAAATTTGGAGGGAAATTGTGGCTGGAGATATGTGTTTTAGAATCACAAGCATATCAGTGTCAATTGAGGACATCAGGATAGATAACATCATTTGAGGAGTAAACATAGAGGAAAGAGAAGTGAACCAAAGATGGAACACTGGGAGCACCAACACTGAAGGCATGAGCAATAGTGGAGGAATTCTCAAGGGAGTTGAACATGGCAGAGTCAGGAAAGGAAAAGTATAGGAGGCAGCCCTGTAGTGGTGGCTAGAGAAAGCCATGGCCTGGGTTGGAAGCAAACCTAGAGCTCCTAGAAGGCAGGCAAGACTGAGTCATGCTTCCAACACAGCCCTTGGTCACCAAAAACCCCAGGAGGTCTTGGTTAAATGAATGAACGCCAAAATGTCCCTACCCTGCTTTGCCCCAAAGCCTGGAGCTTAAGACTTAATCCTACTCTTGACACCCCAGTCCTAAAAATATGGAGAGAGGTAAGCCAGGAGAATTTATAGAAGAGGTTTAAAGAGAAAGTCATAATTTGCTTAAACTGGAGAATAAGGTAAAAAAAATAAAACCTGGCACTTTAGTAGGAGTCCCAGAAGTCCTCCTGCCCAACCTTTCTCTGGGGCATCATGGTATTTATGAAATCAGGGAAGGGCGTGTGGGGTAAGCGGCAGGGTGAGGACAACCTGCCAGTTGCTTGGGGAGTCCTCTGCTGAGCCTAACCTGAGACCCAGCTTACGAAGTTTATCCAGTAGGAAGATGATGGGGACATGTATGGGAGGCTTGAGGGCTATAAGGAAGGGGAGAGGGAAGTCAGGGAACCAGCCCTACAACCTGGGAGAGAAGGTCCAGCCCTCTGGGTAGGGACCAGCCCTGAGGCTTAAGTGAACTTGGCATAGGTACATGTGTGTATGTGTGTGTGTGTGTGTGTGTGTGTGTGTGTGTGAGAGAGAGAGAGAGAGAGAAACAGAGGAGAGAGAGGGATGGGGCACTCTCTGGAAAGGGGAACAGAGTCTCATACATGGGTGAGAGGCTGGAGCCCCCCACAAAAGCCTAATGACTCAACATGTTGAAGTGAGGGTGTGGGAGCTGAACATCCTTGGGAAGCCCTGAGGGGCTGCTGAAGCAGGGTTCCTGGTCTCCTCGGAGGCTGGGCCTCCCCTTGCTGGGGGCTCACAGAAAGTCAAACAGCCCGAAATTCTTGGCTGCTCCAGGCCCAGGAAAAATTGAGGGAAGAAAAAAGAAAGAAAAGAAATGTTTCAGGCCCAGAGGTGAGATGAGCCTGGTGGTTAGTAGGGTTAGGGGTCTGAAGGAACCAGCACACAGGGCAGGCATGGGAGTATAGATGTAGGGGTAGAGCAGATATGCTTCCCAGAAGCCACTAGCAGCTCAGGCAACTGAGGGGGCCCTTCGGGCTTCCAGTAAAGGTGGGCACAGGCTGAGATAGCTTGGATGGTTATTGGAAGTGACTACAGCTCTAGGTTGCAGGACTGAGGCAGCACCCCCCCCCAAGGTGGGGCGGGGGCAGTTAGGAGCAGGGGCAGCTGAAGCAAGTATTTTTTGGTGTCAGTATTGTGGGGGAAAAGTTAAGAGACTGGCACACATGCTCAAGGGGATGCGGTTAATGGAGGGCTGATGTAGCTGAAATGAACGGTGCAAGGTTGCTGCGGGGGTACCGGTGGCGGGGCGGGGGGGGGGGGAAGGGGGGGCTAAAGGGGTGAGCAGGCCCTCAAGGGCACCGCTGGGTTCAACTCCTTAAGTGTGTGTGGGGAATAAGGAGCAGCACCAGCAAGTCGGGTCCCAGTAACATGAAAGATCCTGGGAAGGCCTACGCAGCGGTTAGTGGACAGAGGGGCAAGCTAGGGCCGGTGGCAGGTTAGGGGCCGCAGTGGCGATCGGTGGGTGCACCCCGCCCTCGCTGCGCCCAGCGAGGTTAGCGCGCCTGAATTTAGTTCAATTTATTTCCCTTTCAGGTACCAGACAAAGTAAAAAAGACGGACGGATGGAGAGAGGGACGCAGCCGCCCGGGTGCGGGAGTGGGATGCGAGTGGGGGAGGGGCCCTGTTCACATCACATCCACAAAGAACTCACTGGGGTTTCCCATGGCCATGCGGAAGGACTGTCTGCTGGCTGTCAGTTCAGGGGGCACAGAGGCCAGGTCGCGGCCCGGGGGGGCTCCTGGGGGCCCCATGGCCGCGGGCGGTGGGGGCATCATCAGCATGGGGGGACCGTAGAGAGGGGGCACGCCAGGGGGGCCGTAGCTCGGGTGTGTGTGATGGCTGCGCAGGCTGCCGGCCATGGAGTGGTGGCTGCGGTGGCTATGCTCGCTGGCGGCAGGCCCCGAGCGCTCGCTGGGCGCCCTTTCCCGCGGCCCACGCAGGCTGCTGCGAGTTGTGTGGTCCGACTCGCTGCCGCTGCCGCCCGACTTCGAGTCCCCCGCCTTCGGGTCCTTCTCCTTCCGCCGGTCACTGCCGCTACGGTTGGAGCCACTGCTCCGGCTGCCTGCAGGGGACAGGCAAGCCCAGGGCGGGCGACGCTCAGAGCTTGCAGCAGCAGCCTGGGGTTCGCCTGTGCCCCCACCACCGCCCCCCTCCACCTTACCTTCACTGTGCTGACTGCTGGCGCTGCCCCCACCATAGCTGTACCCCAGCTCTGGGAAGCCTGGGTGCGGGTTGTAGGGGTGTGGGGGCGGCGGGTACTGGTAAGGGAAAGCCATGGGCCAAGGGGCGGCCCCTGGGTGCGGCAAAGGGGCCAGCGTGTCCTGGTCAGAGGCGCCACTGGAACCGTCGTGATCATGGAGGGACAAGTTGGCCATGTCTGTGGGGGGGAGGGCCAGATGAGCTGGGTCTATCCCATGCCCCCACACCCCTAGGTCAGGAGAGAGAGGTCCCCGGTCTAGGTCGGGTGGTACATCTGTGATGACACCTAACAGCAGTGGTAGTTTATCCCCCAAATGAGTGGAGGCATAGGTCAGAGATCTCTCACTTCTTCAGACCCCCTCTGCCACCTACCTGAGATGGTGGAGAGGAAGACCCTGCAGACACAGCACCAAGGAAAACCCCTCAGGAAGGCCCTAAGCCCCACCTTCAGATGCTCAATGCCCAATCCTGACACCCAACTCCTAGGCCCAGGGAGGCCCCCTTCCAAGGGCTTGACAGTTTCTCCTCCTTCCTCATAAACTGGAAGAAGGAACACAAGTCTTAAATGGGCAATATTCTCCTCTGTTCACTTGGGGGGAGTGTGGGAAGCTGAAATAGCAGACAGGTATTGCAAACCTGCAAGTCATTAGACACGATACAAAGCCCTTTACCCCATGCAAATGTTACCACCATCCTATGAAGAGGGCATTAGTCACATTTTTTCCAGATGAGGAAAGTGAAGTCCAGAGAGGTTAAGTGACCCACCTGAGGTCAATCCAAATTGTAGCCAGAGCAGAAGCTAGGAGTTGCTTACTTTCTTATCTTTCCAAGTGAGTCATTAGTAAAGCGTAGGGAGCAGTTTGGGGAAATTTAGGTGAATTTTTGCCCTCTCCCTTCATCTAGGACTAAAAAAAATACCCATTATAGGCCAGAACAAACATAGGCCTTTCAGAGCCTCCCCATACAGAAGGCTAGTGGTCCAGATGGATTTTCTGGTGCTGCTGGGGAAGGTGGAAAGAGCTCAGAAAGAGAACAACTTAGATGCCTCCTCTGTGCCCTCCACCCCATTTCCAGCCAGGCCTCATTCTTCACAGTATTAACATTACTTGTTTCATGACTCTGGCTCCCACAGTAAATTGTTCACTCCTTAAGGGCAAGGCTGCCCCCACCAATGTTGGAACTACTTGAAAGGGGCCACCAGAAGTGTTACCTGCCTGGGACACCCCTTGCTCACACGTCATCATACCAGGTCCCAGAGCTCTGACACAGCTGGAATTGCCCTACGGGCCAGCTGCTGGATACAGATGGAGCCCTTTGTTCCAACTCCTTAAGTAAGCCAGCCCAACCTTCCAGGGAAGAAGAGGTCAGGAGAGGAGGATCTGAGAGGGCGGAGGCAGTCTGTGGAGTCTACCAGCTAAGCCATCAACTTTTCAAGGCCTGCAGCTAGCATGGGGGTGGGGGTGGTGGTGAGGAACAGGGGGCTGCCTTGGCTCATGCCCCAAGAGCTGGTGACTATTTCAGCCTCCGAGCTGTTGTCCTGAGGGGAGTGATTGTGGGCTCCTGGGGATCTCCCAAAGAATTGGGGTCCTCAATTCTTTCCTTTGAGCCTGCTGAGGAGGCTGAGGAGACCTTGGCCGGTGAGAAGAAAAAGACCTATCTGTCAGCATATCCCTGAGCTGGGCCTCTGGGGGGCCTTGGTGCATGGATAGAAGACCCAGGAGGCCCCAGGGATAGAACAGTATCTCTTGAGCAAAAACCACACCTGTCTTGAGAAGCTTTAGGGGTCCCTGGAGGTTCAGGGCCAGGGCTGACTTCTTCTAATGATGATAATAATTACCACACAGGATTGAGTCTAAGAAGCCATGAATTATAAGATGCACTCCAATTTCAGAGATATCAAAATGTGAAAGAAATGTTCACCTTAGAATCAATTAAATTTATGAATGGAGAATTTTTTAAAGCACTTACTGTGGGCCAAACTTGGTGCTAAAAGCATTATACACACTGTTTTAAACCTCTAAAAAGCTCTGAGATAGGTTCTACAATTACCTCCAACTTATAGATCAAGAAATTGAGGCAACGAGAGGCTGTCACTTACTCATGTTTACACAGTGAGGGCGGAGCTAGGATTTGAACTCAGAACTGTCCAACTCCAAAGCCCTAGGCACCTGTCACCCTCCATCACGACCTTGTGCTCTGCAGCAACAGCCTTCCTAGTCCTAGAACCTAACCTGAAGCACTTTAAGTCAATTTTTGGACTTCAGCCAGCGAGCACCACTGGGATGACAAAAGGCTCCCTGAGGCAGAGGCGGCTGCTGGGAGTGGGCCTCTGCTCCCGGCCCTGAGCAATGCTGTCCTGTTTTGAGGACTCCTCTTCCTTCCCAAGGGCTGTCTACCTGCTCAGGAGGAGAAGGGGGGGGGTTCCCTGCAGACCTTTCCTCCTTAAAAACCCTCATTGCCTTTGCACTCTCTCGGGATCAAGTCAAGCTTGGGGCAGCTTGCAGAGTCCTCTACAAGCTGGCCCTGACAGTTTTTTTTTCAGTTTCAGCCCTGACAGTTTTTTTTCAGTTTCATCCCAAGGTCCAGCCCACCCTCAAGGGTCTGAGGAGGCTGGGGACTTGGGGGCTCAAGCCAGCCCCAAGTCCTGCCTTGGTGGAACCTGCTTGGTGCTGGGAGGGTGATCAGGGGCCAACGGTAGGATCTTTGACCTTGCTAAGATAATGTTTCTGCAACACCACACACCTAGGCAGCTCCAAACGGCAGTAAGAAAAAGGACTCTGGAGCCAAAAAGACCTGGACCCAAGGCCTAACTCCTCTGTGTCTGACTGTGAGAATGGGCGGACTATTAAGTCTCAGTATCCTCAGCTGAAATAGGGACAGTGATCCATCTCCCCAAAGGTTAGGAGGCGGGGTTGTGAGGACTGAGTGAGAGTGAGATGATGCTTAGAAACAACCAGCACAGGGCGCCTGGGTGGCTCAGTCGGTTAAGCATCTGCCTTCAGCTCAGGTCATGGTCCCAGGGTCCTGGGATCAAGCCCCGCATCGGGCTCCCTGCTCCACGGAAGGCCTGCTTCTCCCTCTCCCACTCCCCCTGCTTCTGTTCCCTCTCTCGCTGTGTCTCTCTCTGTCAAATAAATAAATAAAATCTAAAAAAAAAAAAAAAGAAAGAAAGAAAGAAACAACCAGCATGGTGCCAGAAACAGAGGAGGCACTTAGAAAATGCCAGGCCCAAGACGGGGACGCAGACAGGTGAAAAGGCCTGACTGGGATCTGCTTCGACTAGAGAGGGAGGCCCGTGTCAGGCCTCAAGCTGGGCCCCCACCTTGGCTGCCTGCTCACGCCTCATGTGGGCTCCCTGGGGTCTGCTGCCACATCCCTGGGCCCCTCCCCACTCCCAGCCAGGAGACAGAGCAAGGTGGGGGAGGCACATACTGCCACAGAGGTCACCGAAGATGTAGTAGCACTGCTCAGAGAAGGTGATCTTGTTGACGGTGTGGCGGATGAAGCCGGCTTTCAGCAGGTTGCTGGCATACTTGCGGGCCTCCCTCCTGTCAGTGAAGCCTTCCACGTTGTGGTATAGCCAGTCCACCACATCCGAGCCTGGGGGCAAGGCCGCCACTTGATTGGGAGGCCCACCTGACTTGGGCTCATCTGACCTCACAGAAGCCACAAGGCTGGGGCTGGTGCCAGCTCCAAGGAGTGGCCCAAGGGAGATCTTCAGCCCCCACCCCGCCCTTCATCCCACCATGGGGCCCTCTCACCGATGAAAGCGTTAGGGATGGTAATCTTGAGCCACATGCGGTCTCGGACCTCCAGCCCAGATTCAGGGGAGGCCATGGCTTTGACAATGGCAGCCATGTCACTGTGGATGGACAGGTGGAAGTCGTCTAGGCCTGGGGGTGGGAGGCAGAATGGTGAGGCAGAAAGGGGCTACAGAGTTAGGTGGAGAGGAGCTGGCACTGCAGCTCTATCACCCAATAACTATGGACCAATGGTGGACACATTATTGACTTCTAGGACACTTAGTTTCCTCCTCTGTAAAAATAGGGACTTCAATATTTATTTTGCAAGGATTTGCTTGTTTGTTTTTTAAAGTAGGCTCCATGCCCAATGTGGAGCCCAACACAGGGCTTGAACTCACAACTCTGAGATCAAGACCTGAGTGGAGATCAAAAGTCCAACGCTTAACCAACTGAGCCACCCAGGCGCCCCATATTTTGCAAGGGTATTTGAAGAGAGAATTAAATAATATAAATGAAGGTGCTTAGCAAAGTGTATAATACGTGTGTTATAATAAAAATGGCAGTCATTTGCTGAGTGCTTACTTTATGCCACATACTGGGATCGAGGCTTCACTTACACCCTCTTGTTAAAACCCCCTCCCTCACCCCGGGACCTGGTAGAGTGCGTATCATTAGTCCCATTTTACTAGAGGAAACTAAGGCTCGCGGGGTGCTCAATACAGGTTCAGAGGCAAACACTGTTTTGTGAGGGTTGGGTGTCCACTCTGGGAAGCTGCAGTTTGAGGTAGCTGGAATGAACTCAGCCCCCTCTCCAGCCCCCTCTGGCTTTTAAGCAAGAGTCTCCATGTGGGCCTTCATTAGTCCCTCCCACCTGGCCTTGTCTGCTGGGCCTCGGGGGCAGGGTTGGACACTCACGCTCTGTGTCAGGGATGGAGCTGGTGATGGAGGAGCTGGTGGAGGTGATGGTGCTCAGGGAGGGGCTCATGCCATAGGCAGGGAAGGTGCCGGTCATGGCTGCAGTGTGGGAGACCCAGGCTGCAGGGTCAATGGGACGGATGGGCTCGCCTGCAGGGAGGATGAGAGTCAGGGGCTGCCCACTGGCAGGCCCCACAGGGTAGGTATGAGGGTTCAGGGCAACACAGAAGGAAGGAGAGACAGGGTTCACGTGTGCCAAGCACCAGCTTTAGGGCTGAGTCGCCCAGCCACTTACTCCTGGGCAGTGTGAAGCAACCACGTGGACTTGGGTCCCAGCACTTGGCTACAGTCAGGGTGATGGGCCTGAAAGCAAGGGTGTCCCTAGTGAGGGCAGGATGCACGGAGTCCAGACCAACCCTCTTGCCTAACAGCCAGAAATGCCTGCCCCCTCCTTCCCAATGTCCCATCCCATCCATACCCCGGTTTGTGCACAATCTCCCGCAGTACCCGGACTGCGTCGTCATTACTCATGTTCTCAAAGTTGATCTCGTTTACCTGGGAGAGAGGGCCAGAAGTGGGATAAGCAGCTGGGTTGGGGAGGTGGATAGGGAAGCTGAGCTTGGTGGATCAGGTCTTCCCCCTACCAAGAAGTGGCCTCTAAATGAGCAGGGATTATCTCCCTACTCCCCATCCACACCACCATCTCCAGTGGGCAGTGGTACCTGTAACAGCATATCTCCTGGCTCGATGCGTCCATCTGCAGCCACAGCACCCCCCTTCATGATAGAGCCGATGTAGATGCCTCCGTCACCACGCTCATTGCTTTGGCCCACAATGGAGATGCCCAGAAAGTTGTACTTTTCTACAGAGAGTAATACAACCTTAAGAGGGGAACAAGGTTCCCACCCAACTTCTGAGCCCCTTATTAGAAAAGGGTGGAAACGGACGGGAGGAACTAACATTCATCGAACCTGAATCAGGCCCGTGTTCAGCACGGTCAAGCATGCTTCCCTTCAGGCCTTGCTAGCTCTGCCACAGGGTCTCTTCGTCCCATCCTACGAAGGAGGCCACTGAGCCTTGGAAAGCTTCAGCGCCTTTTCTAAGCCATTAAGTGGCAAAGCCAGGATTCAAACACAGACTTAAATTCTAAGGCTGGGGCTCTTTTTACTACATCCAGCTATCTCCTAGAGACAGTACCTAGGGCAGAAATCAGAGAGCAACAAGCATCGGCTGAAAAAGGGAAGCGGGATAGGAATCAGAAATTACTTCCTCCAGGAAGCCTTCCCTGCTGCCATCCCTCTGCTTCCACAGCTCTCTGTGCTTGTCTCTGTCATAGCCCTGATCACGAGCTGCTGAAATGATCAGTGTATGTACTGGTTTATGTTTATGAGAGAAAGCTCCTCGGGGTCAGGGAACATATCTTGTGCCTCTCTGAACTCCTCAAGTCTGCCCAGTGTCTGGCATATAGTAGGCCCTCAAGAGTGTTGTTTCACCAGACTCACCCATGTTGAGAGTGACTGTGATGATGTTGAGTGACATGGTGGAGTCCGTGATGCTGCTGAAGGACGAGGACTGGAATAGACAGAGGCCCTGAGCAGCACCGAGGGCTGACAACAACTCAACTGCTCCCACCTAGCTCCTCCTCCAGGTGAGCCCTCGGCACCCCCTCCCCTCTAAGGCTCAAATGCTGGCCCCATAGGAGGAGGTCTAAGGAAGCACACACCCTGGATCTGCCTGGACAGGGCACAGTCTGCCCCCACCCAACCCTGGCATCTCAGGCCCCGTACCCGCTCAATCCGTGAAACCTTCTGCTTCCTCCGCCGCCGCTTATGTCTTCTCATCAGGCGTGAGGCGCTGCTCTGCTCTGTGGAGCTGCTGAACCTGGGGGGCCCACAGTCGTTCCCCACCAGGCTGGCCCAGCACTGCCCCACAAGAGGCACCGCAGGGCCCAAGTCCCCCATGCAAAGCCCACAGTCCTCCCAGGGTCCCACCATCCTTGGGGAGAGGTGGGGTCAGGGCTCCTCGAGGGTTACCTCTCCCACAGTACCAATGAAACCAAAGCCCCACCTGCTGGTGGAGTCATCCTCATCCGAATCAAAGAAGCTGGTGGTCTCTAACTCGCTGCTCATAAGGGTGGATGAGCTATCATAACCCCCTGGCTCTCGCCGCCGTTCCCCCTTTGCAGTTCCATTTAGCCGGGTTGCTGCAGGGAACAGAGGCAGCTGGGTTCACAGTGCCATTGCAGGAGGGAAGGGAGGACACAGGGCTGGGCTAGGGGCTGCACTGGGGCCAGGCATACCCCAAGCTCAGGAAAGGGCAGAGATGTGGGTAGCTGAATAGAAGCGGTGGGGGTAGGCGTGGGTTGGGGGGGGAAGGAAGGTGTCTGTTCAGGGAAGACGCACTGTGCTCTGGGCCGTCCCTCCTGCGTGGCCGCTCGCGCTGGGCAGACACCAAGGAGTCTGTCTCTGTGTCATTGTCCAGGTTCTCCTGGCTGCCTCCACCAGCATGAGGGCTGCAGGGAAGAGAGGACTTGGTGGGAGAGGTGGCAGGCTGGGGGCTCCCTCCCCCCAGCCCTGGGCTGAGCTGATGCATCCCTCCCCCATGGGCCCGCTCCATCCTCAGGCCACACTCACTGGAAGGATGGGGGCCGGGAGTCCCCAATGCCTCCCGTGCGCTCCATGGGCGGTGGCAGTTCTGATGGGTTGTCAGCACAGAAGGGAGCTGGCTCTGGGTGTGAGCCCTCAGCAGACACCAACTGATGGGGAAAGAATGGGTGGGTAGTGTGGTACGGGGGGGCACCAGGGAAATAGCAGACGGTTGGCTTCTGGCAGGGCATGCAGACTTGGGGAGAATGAAGCAGGGGACATGGAGGTAGAAGGGACAGGACTGGGCAAGGTCAGCTGCGATGAGGAATGGACTCACTGCTGGTGGATGGGAGGACAGGAGGCATGAGCTATTGAAGTGGGATGGGGGCAGAGAACAAGGGTCAGTGGTCTAAGGCAGAGGTTGGCTGGAACCTGAGGCAAAGTTCCTCAAAGGGCGTCGGAGACATTTGTGTCTCTGATGAGTGTTTCGGTCCCTCCCTCTCTCCATATTCCACCTCCCCCCTGCCCCCCACCTTTCACCAAGGCTACAGAGTCTGGGGTGAGAAAGAGTTCAGGTAGAAAACTCAGGGGAGAGTCAGATATTAAGGTATAAAACCACCAGCTATAATCTCAGCAATGCTTTTCCTCTGTCTAGCCCACTGCAGGAACGCAGGAGGGAGGGCTGATGAGGGCTCCTTACCCAAGACACCACCCGGCCATTGAAGCAGGGCAGCTTGGCATTGTCGTCGGAGATCTCCTCCTTCACCACTCTGCAGGGAAAGGGTAGGGGTGTCCGAGTGAGCTTTCTGGGGTGGAAATGGAAGGGTCCTCACAATCCTAACTCAGGGGCTCCTCCACCCTAAACTGGGAATCATGCCACCAGCCTAAGCCTGTTCAGATGGGAGCAGAGTGGGGGTCACCTAGGGACAGCTCTTTAGCACCACCAGGAAGACACCAGCCCTGCCCAGACCAGATGCCATCCTGGGGTGTCCTCTCAGTTATCAGGTGACTGCAAATTACACCTGACAAATTGCTGTCCCCCATGAATGTGGCTACTCCCTAGAATCATGAGAGTGCTTTACCCAGTCCAACATAGCTCTTCTGGACTAGACTTATTCTTTCCCTCTGACCCTAAACTAGGAAAAAGTACATCCTTATTTCTGTCTTTCCCTTCTTGGGAATCCCGACATTCTTCTGGGAGGTGTGGATGAGGAGTTTTAAGGATATTAGGAAAGAGAAGGAGAAACTGTATTTACTGAACATCCCCCACTGCCTTTATGATAGTAGTACCAACTGCTCTCATTTACTGAGCACGTATCATGGGCCAAGCACTAAGCTAAGCACTTTGCTTGTGTCATTTCATTTAATACAGCAATGCTAAGACAGACACAGATGGGGAAACTAAGGCTTAGTAAGTTCAGAAATTCACTTACGGTCACACCACTAATAAAAGCTGGAATTTGAATCCTGGTCAGCTTGATTCTTTAGCCTTTATTCGTACCTATTATACCATCTTATCTCCCTAGAATTAGAATGTGTATAATCTTCACATCACCTTCATTGTATGGACAAGATTCTCATTTTATGAGTAGAGAAATGGAGAAACATTCAGTAACTTGTCCCAGGTCACAGAGCTGGAAGATGTCAGAGTTGGAATTCAACCCCAAGCTTGCCTGACTGCAAAACCTATGGTCTTTCCATGGTATTTCACATTTTTTTCTCATACCATGACAGGTGATGTGGATGTGTGTGTGGTGTTGTTGGGGGAGACAGTGATGTGGGGCGTGGAGGGGGTGGGATGTGTATAGGCATGTAATTTGGCTCGGGGGATGCATCAAGGCAAGAAGTCAGACCATGATTACAGTTTGGGGCCAGGGAAAGGAACGAGAAGGTTTGAGGACCCCAGACTGTTTCAAACACCCCAGGAGTACAGAGCTGGAAAGATGTGATCAGGGGCAAGAGAAAGGCACATGCCTGGGGTTGTGAGCAGAGAGGGAGGCTGGGAAGCCTAGTCCTTCCTTGTTCTTGGAGCAGCTTCTGCCCAGAGCCGGGAACGTGCTTGGCTCCTTGTGATGCTCACATTCTTGGACTCACAGCCAAGTTCGAAGACCGAGCCTGCCCTTCTCCCTCCCATCCAGCTCTGGTTCCTCCACCACTTCCAACCCCACAAAGACCCTGGGAAAGCAGCTCTAATCATCCTGGTCAAGCCCACGATGGCAGAAAGCCTAGGGATAGAACATGCTGAAAAGAAGGGACATGGAGATAGCTCAGAGTCATGAGCCAGGCTGGCCACAGGGTACCCTAAGCTTGCAGTCCAATATGGGAACTGGGGCTCAAAGGAAAATGGGGTATGTGGGTCTTATGGCAGAGACTGACCTGCTCTGGAGAGGGTCTCTTTGTGGTGGGAAACTGCTGCTGAATCCCCACCACTCCCTCCCTGAGCAGGCCCCACCACATAGCTCCAATGCTACAGATGTTTCCTCTCTTTCTAGGGGTCACCGACAGGTCGCCAAGGCTCCGCTGACTCATAACGATCAGCTGATCTTCAGCAACAGCCTTGGGGACCTCAGACAGACCTCCCCCTCCCACCATGGAGATGAATGGCTCAGGGTTGCACAGCACTAACACACACACACACACGCCGTAAGCAGAGCTGAACACATCTGGGTTCTAATTCTGCCATTTGTTAGCCCTCCTATCTTAGAGAAGTTTCTTAACTTTTCCAAACCTTTGTCTTATCCTGGTAAGTGTGATTTGTGTGTTGGCATGATGTAGGCTTATAATAAAAGCTAGTTATTAGCTGTGTCAATTTTTAGCAGGTCCCATACTCTTTCCAACTAGGTGTAAGTTTCTAAGGGCGGGGACCAAAAATCTACACATCACTCGCTGTCCATCATCATTCATTCAATTAAAAAGCCTTTGCTAAGAGCCCAGCGGGTTTTAAATCCTGTGCTTGCCATTGTATAAACCTCAAGAAGCACCAGACCAAGAGCCTGCCTTGTCCTTGGAGGTTATGGCCCAATGGATAGTTCATACAAGTATATGGCAAGTGGGAAGTGGTCAGAACCATAAGAACAGCAGATGTGTTCACTGGACAGACATTTGTTGAGTATTACCTAGGTGTCAGGTCCTGGCTAGGAGCTGGGTAGGTGTAAGGATAAATGGGATAAAGTGCCATAACTTTAAAAGCTAAACGCAGAGAATGGGGCAATTTGGACCTGGGGAAGAAAAGGGAAGAGCAGTGTGCTCTGGGTAGGCCTAGAGGAAGGGCAGAATGTGACATGCAGCAGGGAGCAACATGGTTGGTAGTCCAACTTCCCATGTTGCTCCCGCCCACAGCTCAAGGCCACTCTAGCATCCATCAGTGCTGAAAATGTTTATTCTTCCTCCATTTCCCAAGTAATTTAAGAGGGTCTGGCCTATTTAACTTGACAAATACTTCTGGAGACAGGATGGGAGTTGGGGAGTCCTCAGTCCTCACAAACCAGAACCTCAGAGGGTGAGCTTGGAGAGCAGCCTTTCTCCTCTGACCCACTCTCCCATCTGTCAGCAGAGGTCGCTGGCCTCTGCCCGACCCTGGTCTCATGGGGCTAGGATAAGTGGCAGCCCTATCACCTCTACAGTTTGCCAAGGCTCAGCATCTCCCTCAGAGAGGATGTATCTGTTCAATGGTGATGATAATAGTAACACCTACAATTGTATGATTAAGGTCTTAGACTTTGGAGCCAGATTTCTGACGCAGAATCAAGCTCTGCCACTTACTAGCTGTGTGGCCTCGGGTAAGTTACTTAACATTTCTTCATCTATAAACTGGGGATATTACTACTTATTTCATAAGGCTGTTAAGATGATTGAATGAGTAAAGATTTGAAAAGCACTCAGATCAGTGCATGCACACTGAAATACCATAAAAAGAGTTTGTTAAATAAATGAAATATATATACTTCTCAGCTACCAGTTCTCTGTGACAAGACAGCTCTAGCCCTCTCCTGCTCAATAATCCTCCTGGGGATAAAAACAAAATCAATCTCCTCCTTTAGCTTTGTTCTCAATCCTGTTAAAACAGTCTACTATAATATTTTGCAAAGGATGGTTCAAGTACCACTAACGTATGCAAGATCGCTTCAGGTGCACCTGAATGAATGTTTAATTCAATAGTTAAGTATTTATTTTTAACATATTTAGAAAGAAATACAAGTAGAAAATCAGACCTGTGATTTCATATTACTGATTGGGTCAAGCTAAGAAAGAGAGAGTGAACTGGATTTAAAGAACAATATTAAGTCAACTGTGAGCAGATGTAATGGGAACCCTCCTATGACTGCGGTTAGGCCTGGTTTGACAGCAGTCTGGGGGAGTGGGAGGTAGCCCAGAGAGGTATAGGTTTAGGAGGTGGGGGCTAAGCGCACTGGGTTCAGGGGTGAGTTGAGGGCAGAGACACAGGCCTACCCTAGTCCCTCAAGGCATCCGGTCCCAGGGAGGCTCCAGCACACTGCACTCTAGCTGATTTCCCCTATCCCATACCCTGAGGTGGCATCTTAGTCTCTTCCAACTCCGTTTTTCTCTTACCAGGCCAAGGCCTCTGCCCCCTCACTCTCACCCCTTGCAGATCGATCCCTCTTCAGAATCTTCCAATCAGGGGTGTCTGTATCTGGACTGAAGCCAGACAATCATTACTACACCAGGAGTACCCCACCCCAGTGTAGGAACAACAAAAGAAGCAAGAATGGTCAGAAGCTGCATAGCACATCCCACGTTCAAAGCACTCTCACAAACAGGCTCTCATGGGCTCATCAAACCCTGAGTTCCGTGGGGTAAGATGACAGCAAAACATGTTAGGCAGAAGACAGAGAAGGTGCTTGCTTCCCAGGCCAAGAGGGGAGGGGTCCTGGAAGAGAAGCCAGACTCATCAACACCAGGGAGGAGACTGTCTCCCCTCATTCAGCTCTGGGGCCTCAGCTCCAAAGAGCAGTGCAGGCCTCAGGCTGGGGCTGGAGAGACAGCCTTTAGGCCTTCAGGGCCCGGGAAGGCCTTCCCCACAGGCCTCCAGGCCCAGTGCCCAGTTAGTGTGGGGCAGGCAAGTCTGGGGGCCTCCCCCTCCCCCAGTCCCCTGGGAGTTGGGGGGGGGTGTGAGGGGATGGGCCAGGCTCCCCCTCCCAGGCCAGCTGCTACAGAACCTTCCGGCTCCAACATTCCATCCCCTCTTAAAGGGGAAGTCCCTGCTTCCAAACTCCGCCTGCCCAAAGCCCTGCAGCTGGGTGGAGAAGACCCCGCCAGGCAGAGGAAGATGAAGAACACCAAGAGACTCTTCCTGGCCCTCCCATCCAGGCTCTGAGGCCCTTTCCAAGGTCTCCCCTTGGCCACGATCTGGAGGAAAAAGGCCCCAATTCTGAAGGGAAATCAGCACCTAGGCCAGTGGGGATTTCTCAGGGGTCAGGCACTCCAATTCCTTGACAACATCCTGAACACCCCACAAGGAAGGGGAGACAGCTAAATAAACATTAGGCTTGCTGGCCTTAGCTTGCAGCCTGGCCCCTGAACCGCCCCCCCCAAGTCCCCCTCCCCCCAGTTCAAAGTCCCACAGCATAGCCCCTGGATGCACTACTCCAAATACGGTTCTGAGTTGGGAGCTGAAAAGATGGAGAGGGCAAAGGCCAAGTGCCAAACACCCCAAGTCTCTGCTAAAAAGGTGGCTCCCCTGGCGGGCGGAAGGTTGGGGACTCTGGCTCTGGAATCGGGTGGAGGGGGGGGTGTGTCTGTCTATGTAGGCCACTGGCCTCTGAGGAGGTGAAGGGGACTTGGAACTCTGGTTGCTCTTGGGGAATTGGACGTCCCCCTAAAACTAGGGGGGCTAGGTCCCCCACAAGACGTAAAAGGAGAGTCCCTAAAGGGGCTAGAACTCCAGCCTCTGAAAAAGCCAGGGGGCCCCCAAATGCCCAAGTCGCCGCCTGGAATCCAGAGTAGGGCCAGAAGCCAGTGTAGCAAGGGGAGTCCAAACTGGCCGAGTGGGCCCCGAGAAGCCGGAGGGGCCGGGGTCCCCCGGAGGTGAGGCGGGGGCCATCCTCACCCGAAATCGTCGTCCATAGACTTGAAGAAGAACTTATAGCTGGGTCGCTGCAGAACGCCCTTAAAGTCCGCCAAGGTGACGCGCTCGGCGGGCAGGGGCAGCTTCACCAGGTACGGCGTCTCCTGCCCGTCCAGGTGGTAGATGATCTTGGTCTCGCCCATGGCTCCGGCCTCGGGCCCGGCGGCCCGCGCGCGGCCTGCTCCGGCGGCCGGGCCGGGCCTCTCGGGCGGCGACGGCCCTCGGCGCGGCCCAGCGGCTCAGCCTAGCTCCGCGGCCGGCCGCGGCGCCAGCTCCCTTGTTCTCCGGCCGCTCCCGGGTCCCAGCGCCGCCTGCCGCCGCCGCGGCTGCCGCTTCCGCTCCCCACTCTCCCGGCTCCGCTGGAGACTGCGACTCTTCCGGTGGCCGCGGCCCTACCCGGCTCTGCGCTGCGGCTCGGCCCGCTCCCCTCCCCCGACCCCGGCGCGGCCCCGCCCCGGCGCGAGCTCCGCCCCTGGCCGCCGCCGCGCCGCGCTGGCCTCACGGCAGATGGTTGGGGCCACTACCGGGCCCCGCGGACACCCCGCGGTGAGCTCGGCAGCCTGTGCTCCGCTCCCAGGCCTGCGGGGAGCTTGGTGGCGGTCGCCTAGGCTCCCCAGACAGGGAAGGGCAGATCTCACCAGGATGGCCGCGTTCGCGGATTCATCAAGGTCCTGACTCTGGACCCTAGGGGGATCGGCTGTTCCTCAGCAGCCTGGGGTCACTTTGGTCCCCAGAGGTGGGGGGGCGGCCCAGAGGGGGGGCGGTTCTGACCAGGTATCGATGGAGGAAAGTGACGTTCATGTGGCCCTTTTAGGGTCTGTTGGAAAGAATAGCTGCTGTCACTGAGTCTACCAAACTGAGTTCCTTGAGGAAGAACGGAATCGAGTTCTGATTCCTTCTTCTAACCTCAGTACAGGGCACCCGGGTGGCTTAGTAGGTTAAGTGCCTGCCTTCGGCTCAGGTCATGGTCTCAGGGTCCTGGGATGGAGTCCCATCAGGCTCACTGCTCGCTGGGAGTCTGCTTCTCCCTCTCCCTCTGCCCCTCCCCTCTGCTCCAGCGCGTGCTCTCTCGCTCTCTCTAAATAAATAAATAAAATTAAAATAAAATAAAATAAAATAAAATCTTAAAAAAAAATAACCTCAGTACAATACCTAGGTGCAAAGCCGTGGCTTAATAAATGGACTGATGCAGAATGAGATGAAAATGAGTGCATGACTGGGCCAGTAAGTCTCAAACCAGAACTAGGTATAATAGGTCCCTGACAGATCTCTTCACCTCTTAGCTCTTAATTCTTTTAATAAATGGGTGCCCACCAAGGTGCAAGGCACACCGCAGGGGATAAAGTGAAAACAAGACAGTTAAGGCTGCCCTCAGTCAGGACTTTCATTCATCTGAAAGGCGGCACACCAGCTGGTAATAAATAACTTCCCAGGGACAAATGCTAAGAAAAAGATAAAATGGAGTGATGTGGTAGTAAAAGGGACAAGAGAGCCATGGGTGGTTAGAGAAAGCCTCTTCCATTTGAGCGAAGACAGAATGGAAAAAGCAGCAGCTAGAAGGTCCGGTGTGGGGGGAAAGGCATTCCAGGCAAAGGGCACAGCCAGGTATAAAGGCTCAAGGCAGGAATAAACTCTCCCAATTTGAGGAACAAGAAGGCCATTGTGACTATAGTGATAGTGGTAGAATGAGGCTGGAGAGGTAGACATAGGTCCTTTAAGGCCACAGGAACAAGTATGGGCTCCTCCCACTCCATTTTGTACACTGTTGCCAAATTAGCATTTTCAAAGTACCACTTCCACAGACTCTTCTGCTCAGAAATCTCTCCACATTCCCCAGTGCTTTCCAAATATTCTTAGCACAGTATTCAAAACTCCATAATCGAAACTACCTACCTCTACAGCTATTTTTTCATTATATCCTGGCTAAATTTTTTACTTCAGCAAATCAACCTATTTGCTAGCCCCTGCACATACCTTGTGAACTTTCATTTCATACCCTTCTCTTCACTTTTTAAATTAAATATATGTGCATTTTAAGAAAGCTCTTAACAGCAGTTCTCTGTCCCATTTTCCACCCCAACCCAGTACATAGATATTTTTAAACCTCATACTAGTTACCGATTTATGCATTCTGGACATTGCTTATTTATTTCCAAATTTGATTGATGGATTTATCTTTCTTCACCTCCCCCTAACCTCTTAAAATAGTGAAATCATACTTTTTGGTTAAGTCAATATAGTTTTTAGCATTGACATTTTGCCTATGAGTAAATGCTTCCTTTTTATAACTTTTTGTTTCTCCTGGCATTAATCATTGCTTTACTTTTGCATTTGCTTTTTAAAATAGTATATCTACCATTAAGTCTTACCATATAATCTAATAGTTTCTCAATGCATATTTTGTTTACACTGTCAAATATATTAGATAATCCAACCATTTTTTTCCCCTTGGAGCCTTCCATTCTCTTGCTCTGGTCTGCACTATTGGCTGTCTCAGCCTATGCACGACTGTCATCCTGGAACTTCTCTGCATCATCCTCAGAATTCCCTTTACCTCTCCTCCCTGTTGGGTCCCCATTTCCTGGATATTTTACTCCTTTGCTTTGGTAAAGCACACACTTTGGTGGCTTACTTAAAAGCATGGGAAATAAAACGCTTTTCAAGAACTTGCAAATCTGAAAATATGATTGAAAGTAACTTTCCTTCAGAATTTTGAAGGTATCACTACATTGTCTTCCAGCATCCAGTGTTGCTATTAAGCAGTCAGTTTGAGCTCTATTTTTCCTAAGGCTTTGCACATGACTTGTTTTTACTCTCTCTGGAAGTCTTTAGGAAGTTCTTTTTATTCCTGGGGTTCTGAAAAAATTTTTAAAGATTTTATTTATTTATTTATTATTTTTAAGATTTTATTTATTTGTCAGACAGAGAGAGAGAGCACAAGCAGGGAGAGCAGCAGGCTCCCCGCCAAGCAAGGAACCCAATGCAGGACTCGATGTGGGACTCAGACTCCATCCCAGGACCCTGGGATCACAACCTGAGCCAAAGGCAGACGCTTAACCACCGACTAAGCCACCTAGGCTTCCTGGGATTCTAAAATTTCATGGTGATATGTCTTGGTGCTAATTTACTGTGCTAGGCATTTGGTGAGCCCTTTCCACCTAGAAATTCAACAATATTTCCTTGAATTACTTAATAACATCACTACCATTTTCCCTGTTTTTTATAACTCCTGTTAGATGTTGGAGCTTCTAGATTGATCCTTATTTTTTTCCCTCCTTTATCATCCATTCCCTTTTATTTTTAAATGACTGCACCTTTTTTGGGAGCTTTTCTTCACATTTCCAATCTTTCCCCTATCCAATTGGATAGGTAAAATGCTCACAATTCAAAATTCAACTACTTAAGGATGGATGTAGTCTCCATCCTATTCAGGTCTGCAGTCCTCCAATTCTCACTAGGAAATAATTCACTTATTTTTAATTTCTAAAAACCTTGTTATCCAGTTCTCCCTTTTCATAGTACTTTCTTCATAGACACACTATCATCCTTCTTTGAATTTTAAGAATAATTATAGCTCCCCGCTGCCCTGAGGTTTTCAAAAATCTCCCTACTTTCTCATTGTTTCCTTCATTTCAGTTTTGTTTTGGTCCCCACCTGTCACACTGGAAGTTTCCTCAAATGTTTGATGGCCATTGGCGGTCTATTCACATTTAAGAGCAAGATACTAAAAAGGTGGTTGGAAGCTGTCCACGTACAGGGCTTTTTTTGTTTTGTTTTGTTTTTTAAAGATTTTATTTGTTAAAATAATCTCTATACCCAAAGTGGGGCTTGAACCCACAACCCCGAGATCAAGAGTCACATATTCCACCGACTGAGCCAGCCCCCACATACAGGGCTTATTAACTAACAGGTTTCACTGCAGGGTGATCAAGTGGGGTTGATGATGGCTTTTTGTTTTGAAGAAGCAAAAAATATATTTAAAGGCTTTCTTTTTTTTCCTGTTTTTCAGTTTGTTTTTGCCTGGTATGTGCTGATATTCAGAGCCCTCATATACTTTCACTTATCCCTCATTTCCAATCTAGCCCCTCACCCCTGTCCCCATGTCTGCTCTTGAGTCCAGAGGCTCCAGTACCTCTTCCCTAAGGTTCTGAAATTTCATTCATTCTACTGGGCACTCATGAGCTCTGTCAGTCTGAAAACTCAAGACCTTTGGATTTAGGAACACTTCATAAATATTTCTTTGATAATTTCCTCCCACCATTTCTCCAGAGACTAAATCTCCCACTTCTCGCGGGATTAGCAGGGCTAATCACCTGGCTAAACTGGATGAGGTAGAGACCTGGGAGGCCTTTTCTAGATCTTTGATTCCTCTCCACCCCACCCTGTTAGGAACAAATCCTTATCCTCTTTGCTGCACCTTTTCTGGGTTTAAAAGGGCACATTGGGTTTGCTTTTTGTTAAAAACCACCTCAGCAGACAGAACCCATCTCATTCTGTTCAGTCAACTTTCACTTTCATTTATTTTTCATTTTTCAAAATGTCAATGTCTCTCATTCATTGTATCACCTCAGGTTTTCCTTACTGAGTTATAGGCCTTTTTTGAAGAATTCCTTTAGCATTTAAATGGGGTTTGGGAAAAAGCAAAAAACCCACATGTTTAATGTGCCATATTTAAATGGAAACCCTTTGCTTTGCTTTTTTTTTTTTTTCTTGATTAAACATATTATTCACAGCATGCCTGACTCTGTGACAAGCAGGCTTGAGCCCTGGTCATTCTGGCTCTAAGGGGCAGTGTGTTCTGCGGACAGGTGCCTGCCGCTCTACCTCTTAAACTCCACCTGTGTGTATACCTTGGTGATATGGTATCTGCCTTCAGTGGGCTGGTAGTTGGAGATCAGTGGCGTGTAATCTGGCCCTTCTCTTTCAAAGGGGAACAGATTGGGGTCCCGCTTGGTGGCCTCCACATGTAGGGACGGGAGTTGCTGCTCCTGCAGAGCTTCCTGCTGGGACTCCGTCATGGACCTGATGGCGTCCCTCTCCTTCTCATGCTCTAGATGCTTGTACAGAGACCACTTCCTCAGGAGCAGAGCTCTCTGCTCACTCTCCTCAAAGGGAAGCTCCACGTGAGGCCACTGTCTTGCTTTATCCAAGAGCCTCACAGGTGTGATAAAATCTTCGATGGGAATTAGCTCCTGGCTAGCTTTCTCCAGTCGTCTGA